GTGTCTACATTCAATGTCTATGCTACATCCTAAGTACTGAACTCAAACTTAAGATTCAAGAATTTCTAAAACACATTTCTAAACTCATTTGTAAGGTTTCAATTAACAGCATCTGAAGAAATTAAAACACTTAAGTGACATGAACATGTTTTAGGATGTATTTGGTACATATTAACTGATTTTCTTCTAACAATCAATTAGCTAGAGCACACAAAACTTTTAGTCTTGGTTGAACAGTTTCATTCATCTACACATTTTACAAAACAGTGCATATTTAAGACATGTAAGAACGAGTAATTTACTAAGAATATTCAAAGTTGATTATATTAAGAACATTCTGTATAAGGCCAGTGAGTTATTCATTTCTAATTTATACTGGGCCAAAATGAAACAACTTCCTGGACTTGTTACTGGTTACATTTTAAGTAAACACAGACACATATTCTCTAAAAATGCAATAAAATATACCATGTCCTTTGTCTTAATTCGTGAAGCATGAGCAATATTACATACTACAGCCAGATAAGACTTTTACCCCATCAGCTAATATCCAGTTCATGAGAAATTCTTACCAAATTTCCATTGTCACATTTCTGGAATTATATGGTACTTGCTGCAGTATAATTAATTCTCTTTTTCTTCTGTTTGCTGAAATACTAGCAGCCTTTACAAATTTTCTAGAGGGTCTCTGTAATCAACAATGTAATAAACAATGTACTAGCTTAATAGTAATAATGTTGATGTCATTCATTTTATTAACTGAATATTTTAGATAAGTCCTGCTAATACTATTAAAATGAAAAAGTACAAGATTTATTTTTGACATTTTTACTATGCTAATTATATTTCCCCTCTAACTCTCTAAGAGCATGAGCATATCTGTGCACACACTTGCAGACCTGTTATTCTGTTGGGTGCACAGCTCCACTGCAGACAGTCCTAGAGACTGGTATCTTAAATTTCTCCCAAAGAATGTCTTACACTCGTCATCCATTCATGGTAAAGTAGTTAATTTTAATGTTCTCATTGTTTACCAGAAAGCACAAACAGTGAGGCTGGCTTTGCTGTTCCCATTTCCTTTCGCTATGCTGCTGAGCTTTTTCAGCCAATTGACTTTGCTTTGAGGCTATAAATATCTGAAAAATGTTCTGCATTTGATGCTCTTGGATTCTGCATCCATATTTAGCTGTTTGTGGCATGCCTTTGTTTAAGCCAATCTACCACCCATACGATCAGCGAGGTTGAAATCTAGATGGTCAAAAGACAGGATGGATCAACATTCAACAGTTACTGACTTACTAAGAGCAAGGTACCAACCTGCTAGACAAGGTGACAATGAAAGGGGTGGCAAGGTAAAAATCAAACATAAACAAGACAGATTCTCTGATGTTAAAAATTTTATAGTCTTGACAGGGCAGGGGCACAACTTATAGTATTGGAATAAAACAAATGGAACATTTTACAACCAAAAGAAAATGAAGGATAGGACGGCGTAAATATTTTCTCTTAGCAGTGTCTCAAAGACGTGCATTTGTTTCTGTTCTAAATACAGATCCACAGATCATTATAAAGCTCTGAACATATTCCAAAAAACTTTTCCAAATCGTGGCAATACACAAAACTCTGAATCTATGTATAATCAACCAAATACATGTATGTACATATACAAGCGTATTTCAAAACATTTGTGGAAAATAGAATTAAAAGATAATATGAATCTTTCTGTGAACTTTTTGAAGCATCCTAATATGTACAAAATACATATTATCAACCAAAGAGCCAAGTCTGTCAACAGCAAACTCAAAACAGTGCCCTGTCTTCAAATTTTGTGAGGTAAACTAACTGAATATCATTTCTAAAAGTTTCTGTTATGATATTCTTGGGGGGCCGGGACACGGGGGAGGGGGATATGGTTATTATTGTTGTTTGCTTGCTTGCATTATGATCTCAAACAGTACTATTTTGAAGAGGATGGAAACTGTAGTCAGCAGCCAGCAGCACTTAATACAGCTCCTTATTATACCTTATCTTTAAAACCCACACTGCTATTTTAGGTTAGGTATCAAAACTGAACGAGTTAAACCCTGAGCACCATCCCCTTTCCCACCTTCCAATCTTGAGAAAATATTCCAAACACATATACATCTGCCCTGGACATTTCTTCTTTCAAAACTCAATTCACTGACCTTTTGATAAAAGTGCTCCCCAGAATCCCCTGACGATCATAATTCAAATACATCAAATTAAAGTCTTGTTTGATGCCTGGCCCCAAAAAGTCAGAATGGAATTTGTAAGCCAAATTGTAGGTACAATAATGGGGCGAGCCATAGAATCTGACAATTTTAAACCTAAAAGGGACCACTTAAGTAAGATACCAATTACTCCAGATTCCACATTTTATGCAGAAACCTAGAGCCAGGGAGTTAAAACTACCTGCCCAAACTTAGACAACCAATTTGTGCCAAAGCCAGAATGAAAGCCCAGGTTCTCAATCCCTAGTTGTATACTCTAAACTAGGTTCCCGATTTCTGCATTTCTTTAAAACACATTAGACAACACTCAAAGTCTCTTCAAATTGTGTAGAACTTACATAATCCAAGACAATCAGGGTTTTGAACACACAAAACAGACAAGAAACAAGAAAAACAAAAAAAAAACCACTAATATTCTCCAAACTGGTTTTCTACATTCTGTTATTTGTACTTCAAAGTTTTTCAAAGGGGTATACAATAGGCAATTCAAAACTTAGCTAAGGACATAACTAGAAGCCATTCAGATAATTTTGAAATATTTACATCAAACTAAAGACACATAGTAGTATCCAGGATGAGCCACCTCAGAGGAAGGAAAGTAGCAGTACCAAAGAGTAAATAAAAGCAACTTCTGGTTAATTGATAAGGAAGACCAAAAAATGTTACAATGCAGTGGAAAGTCTGCAACTTGGCACAGAAATGCACAGTATGTATGTGTGTTTGTTAGCACCCCAATTACTCCAGATACCACATTTTATGCAGAAACCTAGAGCCAGGGAGTTAAAATTACTTGCCCAAATTTAGACAACAAATTGGTGGCAAAGCCAGAATAAGCCCAGGTTTTCAACCCCCAGTTGTATAATCCAGGTTCCCAATTTCTGGATTTCTTTAAAACACATTTAGAGATAAATAAACAAATAAATAGACAGATATATATACACACACCCAACATACACATTTCACAAATCAAGCCCTGGTAACAGGCTACAAAAACATCATATATTTACAGACATATCTGTCTTTACCTGCAAAGAACCATAGTTAATACTAAGTCTAGAGAACCCAGAGTTTTGGACACTGAAATATTGAACCATCTTATATACATATTCTTACAGTAACATGGCCTTATTGCTAACGTCATATAAAAAACAGTATGCCAAAGAAATGTGTGAGATAGGAAAGAAGACAGAATGTGAAAACGTAACCACAATATCCCCTAATTTATACCCATTTTCAGATTATCATCAACCTTTGTTACAAGCAATCGGCCAAGTGGGATTAGCAGGTGGATAAAAAAATCAGGCACCAAAGTTTTAAATCTAATCCGCTGAGAATGAACTGGATGACCTTGTATTGTCTTCCACTCCTTTGCTTTAATTTTTCTAGTTAAATAGAATAACATCAAGAAACACTTTTAAACACCAAGCAAAATACAAAGCAGTGCATACATAAATCTTTAAGAACTGGTTATAAGAAGAATTGCTGGATTTTTACAATTGAAGGGACAATTAGAGATCATTTAATCCAATCCATTCATTTTACAGATGAGGAATCAGAGCCACTTAGTGGCAGAACTGAGTCAGAAACCCACATCTCTGGACTCCTAGTTCTGTGATCTTTCTGACAGTGATATATATACACGAAGGTTTAAAACCAACTGAACTATCCAGAAAGACAACTTCTAAGTCATGGTCACTCTTGAATAGTAAACATATACCCTGTTCAGAAGGATGAAAGAAAAAACATAATACTTAATAATAGTATTCGATCACTACAGGTTTAAATGCACATGACAGCAGAATAACATTTTAACATTGTGTTTGATCCCAGGTACCTCAAATTTGCCATCTTATACTCAGCCACATTACTAATGTCTTTTGTGGTCATGTGAGCTAAGTGATAAACATTTTGCCAATTCAATATTTTGGAAAACCATAGATCCTGAATACCAGGCTATAAATCCTTGGGCTATGAGTTTTCAAAACCAGCATGGTTTTAATGCTTCCACAAGGCTCACTCTAATAGTATATCATCATTCAGTTTTAATTGAAGAGGTGGTTACTAGGAATGCAGAAAGGGAAAGTTTTAGTGTGTTCATCACTTTTAACCTGCTGAGTGGCAACCCAGTCACTTTACAATGAGAACCAGAAACAATAGTGCAATCTGAAACAATCCATACCCGCTGGAATAAGTGGTTGCTTTTAGAGAGTGAGCTTCAGGAAGAAGTTACAGATTGGTTTAGTATGTTCCCATCAAATAAATACGTTTGGTTTTCTTTCTTTTAATTTCATTTATTAACTTATCCTCTGCTGAGCTTTTTCATAATATCTTTGTTTCCAGTCTTGCCTCACTCAACAAGAGAAAGAAATGAAACCCCGTCCATCAAATCTTCTTGAAGACTAGTTGACAGTTCCCTTGAACTAATCACCTAAAAATGATGTCTGAATAGAGCAACTCCATCTTAAACTGACTGCAGGTGCCCGAAGAAGTCCAAAGACCATACTGAGCCACATCCCTACCCAAGCGCTAGTCTGGAGAAACTTGTCAGAAATGCACCCCCAGAACAAAAAGGGATGTGGGAAACACCCAGGATAGATGGAGACTAGGAATGGGACTGAGACTAAGGAATGAATTTCAGCCCGAGCAAAGACAAGAAACATCAGCCTCTAAGACGGCCTGTGGTCCTTACCGTACACCCTGACCCAGCTCTGCTGCTGGCACACAGACTCCAGAAGGATCCGATCCAACATGCCACCGGCCACGGCCCCGCTGACTGGAACAACAACGTCCAGGTCCTCCGGGGGCAGCGGCGAGTCGGACTCCAGCCCCGGGAACATCTCCGGCCAGGACAGCGCCTCCACGGCTCCTCCGGACGACGGAGAGAGCTCCATGGTGCCCCGGAGGGACGAGGCGGCGGCGGCGGGGAGGGCGCGCGGCTCCGCGCCCTGCCTGCGGGAAGGGGAGGAGGACAGCGCAGCAGCGGGGGCAAGGACCCGAGCGGCAGCGGGCGTGGACGCCGCTCACCTCCTTCCCCGCCGCCCACTGCCCGAGGCTCGGGCGCTGCAGCCCACCTGCAGCCGGCGGGCGGGATCCAGGCCGATAAGCTCAGTAGAGCTGGCTGGTTGGCGCAGTTTGTTAGAGCACAGATTTGTAACACCAATGGCCAGGGTTTCGATCCCCTTAATGTCCAGTCGCCAAAAAAAGGAAAATAAAAAAGAATAAGCTCATTAATTAGTGCTCCTTTTATGAAACTTTTCAAACCTCAATTTTGAGTTTCATCAACTTTATGCATATTTTCTTCCATTTTACCATCTGAGAATGAAAATATAACTTATGGTTAATGGCATCACAGACAACACGTTGTCATTGCATGTACACATATAAACTTGGTCTAAAAACCTTCCATTGACCTCTTCTGTTGGCATGACCAGTATAATGCTTTGCAGAACTGGTGCCAGTGTCTTGGAAGGAAGTCTCAGGGACAAAGGGGGACTGTTTTTTTTTTTCTTTTCTCTCGCGGTCAGAGCAGGCTCGGGCCAGGGATGGAGCGGGGCCGGGCAGGGCTGGGCTTGGGGGCGTCGCCGCCAGGGGCCGCCCCCCTCTGACCGGCTCCCGCCGCCGCCGCCTCAGGGGCTCCGAGTGCCCGCTCCCTCAGCCTGGAGGGTGGCGGGGACGGTGGCCCGGGGCTCTCGCCCGCCTGTCCTCAACACCCCCCTCAGAATGAGCCGGCCCGCCCCCCTAACTCTCAGGCCACGGCTCCGGCTCCGCGGCGGATCCCACAAGCCCGGCAGCCGCGGCGGTGGCGGCGGCAGGCGGCATCCCAGGGTGATAGTCTGGAGCAATCGAGGGCCGAGAGCCGGGCCGCGTGTGCAATCGAGTAACCAAGCGGAGGAGGAACTGCCACCAAAGGCAGGAAAAATCGGCCACCGAACTATTCATCTGGCCAGCCCCGCCTACCGCCCAAATACCTTCCCTGGGACCGCCCTGCAGTGCCGGGTCCGGGTCTCCCGAGCTGCTGCTCAGAGCAGACACGGCTGGGGAGGCGGAGAGGAAAAGGGATGCGGGAAATTCAAAAATTTAAAAAGAAAGAACAGGAGTTTCCCTTTCTTCTCATCCCTTTCCTATTTATTTATTATTTATTTATCTATTTGGGGGCCAACACTTCTCTCTTATTGGATGAAGAGATTGGAGAGACTGCTTTATTTTACAGTCGCCCAATGGGAAACGCCTCCTTCCTTCCGAGAGAGAGTTGGCAGCGGGTCTGGGATTGTGGGATATGAGCAGGATCCGCGCCCTGCGCTCTGTCCGCTCTAAAGCTGGACTGGGCGGTTTAGAATAGCATGGTTTAGAAGTGTGGTGTGGATAGATGGACGGGCTTCCCAAGTACATGAAATGCTCAAAAACCCAGCATTAGCCAAACATGTTTCTCTCTTTTGCCTTTGATCTTTGTGCAACATGTTGGCTTTTTTTCCCTCTAATGATGTCACTTGCGTTTTATTCTTGGTTTGTTTGTAGAGTGTCTCTCTCCTTGACCCGTGACTTTACTTTTATGTCCACCCGAGGCGATATTCACCAGTTCAGATTTAAGAGATTACTAGCAAAATAATATATTTTTTTTTTTTTAAAAAAAGATGACCGGTAAGGGAATCTTAACCCTCGACTTGGTGTTGTCAGCACCACGCTCACCCAGTGAGCTAACCGGCCATCCCTACATGGGATCTGAACCCGTGGCCCTGGTGCTATCAGCACCGCACCCTCCCGAGTGAGCCACGGGCCTGCCCAATAATAATTTTTAAATTGGACAATTAACAACTTAAACTGTGCCTTACACGTAGTGTAAAGTGTGCTTTACATGTAGTGTTAACAACAGTGTTTCTTGAGCATGGCTACTTAAAAAGGAGCAGGATTTTCCATAATTACATTTTGCTTTTTGTTTTACTCACTTTGGGGGGCTTTGTCTGGTACCCCTTCCCCACAATTTCTCCCTACTTTGCCCAAGGAGACTGGTCTACAAAGGATAATCTTAGTTTTCTGGTTTTGTGGTTTTGGGTTGTGTATCTTGGTGTGTTGTTTGGGTTTATTGAGAGTCATGACGATGCATTTTGTAATTTTCTCAAAACTCCTATTTACAGTAATAGTATTTCAAAGTAAGAAGCGACTTTAGAGATAATCTCTTCTGCCTTTTGTTTAACAGGCGAGGAAAGTGGGGAACAGCCAGATTACCTGGCAAATTAACCACCAGTGCAGATGGGTCTACAATGTCTTATAATGTTAGTTACTTCCACTTTGTTCCCTCAAGAATCTTTTGTGATTAAGCTTGTTGATCTGTGGCTTGGCAACATATTAGAGTTGTCATTTCTAATATCTAGAACCCTGTTTGCTTACTATCTGGCTACATAGTCAGTCTTCTAAGTCTAAACCATCGTACTGTATGTGCTGTAGTAGAAAAGGGAAGGTGCTGAAGCCAAGAGATGACAGGGTAAATGGAGCAAACCTAGAGTGTTTTATTTATACTAAATTACTATTATACTAAATTAAGTCGTGGTAACGTAAGTCAGAGAACAAGTGAATAATGAGCATCAAATTACAAATCTGAGTATCTCTTTAATAGTCAATATAAAAGGAATGTATTTACCCAAGCGATTATCTCAAAAACACCTTTAGGAGTAGCGGTATATGAAACATTCACAAAGGTTTTTTCCAAACTTGCTCTCTCAGTGGCTTCGTCTGTTCTCGAGCTGAAGAAAAAGTATTTGCCAACCCCCAGTAATCCTACTTAATAAGTCTATTTTCTTCACCCACACCCTCCAAATACTGGTCCCTACTTCACCCCACCCCCTCATCCTGACCCCAAGCTAGCTGCAGGTTTTATCTAATTGCCTAAGTAATAGTATATCTGGAACTTTTCTAATGTTTATAATTTTAAAAGAAAGTACTTTCACAACTGGAACAATAATTCTGTGAGATAAGCAGAACCAGTATTTTTTAAACCACCATTTAGCCAGTGAAAAAAATTGAAGCATAGACTTATACTAAGCAACCTGTCTAAAAGTAGCTACTTAGTAGACTGAGATTAAAACCCTAGTCTCCTAATTTTTAATTCATTCATGGATCTGGATTCCTTATGGTTTTTTTTTTTTTTTTTTTTTTTTTTTTTTTTTTTTTTTTTTTTTCCAGGTGGAGTTGTTCTGACATTTGTGGAACCAAAAGTACACATTTTGTGTTTTTTTTTTTTTTCAAATTACTATCATTTAAAAAAATATTGAAGAAAAACAAAATAAGACAAAAAAGTTATAAACCAACTCTCATTGCTGGGAGGCAGTTTATCCTACTTGGATTTATACCAGTGGTATATCCCTGATGTAATCCCAGATTTTAATGTGAAGATAAATCCTTGGCTGATAAAGTCTTAGTTTATACTGTAGATTGCAAATAGTCCTTTATGTGTGAACAGCAATAGAGCAAAAGCCTCATTTCCCTACGTGCCCTCTCCCCTCCTCCTTCCACCTTGCTCTAGAGCTTTGGATACTAAGCTCCCAGAGGTGATCTACATTATTTATTGTCTTTGGAATTCATTACTCCAAGAATCAAACTCAAGATCCAGGACAAGTGGGAACTAAAAAATTGGGAAACTATGGAGAAAAAAAATAATTTCTCTAGGTAATGGTCTGAATAACAAAGGCTGGCAGGAGTCTGAGATTTCCAAAAGAAAGAGGACTTCGGTTCCCGTACATGTTGCCAGTATTAAGGAGAGATGAGGGTTTGGAATCTTGGCTGTCACAACCTGAGGGCTAGGTACATGTCCAATTTTCTCCTCCACTCACTTGTCAGAAAACCTGCTCACACACAAGAGATTCCCTCTGCATACATGCTGTTAACTGTTTTCTTATAGCCAGTCCTTTCTAGGCTATGTAGGCAGCACCTCTAAGCAGCTAATCCCCAAAATGGTAATGCAACCTTTAAACTGTGGTTCACTAGCCCCTTTCTTCCTTCCTTCTTTCTTTTTTTTTCTTTCATCAAAAAAGGGTTTATTTTTCCCAAGATGCTGCAACAAGTTCAGAGTACCACTGGGACCCAGCTCCTTCTATCTGTTGGCTGGGTCTTGCCGGACTGTGAGACTTTTGACCTCATGGTTATAAACTGGCTGCTCCATCCTTGGGCATCACAGGCATACAAAAGCAAGAGAAAGAGGGAAGGACAGTTAGCCCCTCCCTTTCAAGATTCCCTCTGTCCTTGGATACAGTGATGCAGCACTCTCCTGATTATATTCTATAATACTGACCATGCCCAGTTCATCATAAGGAAAGAATTTAGACATTTCCCAAGATTCTGTCATCTGCCCTCCTCGCACCTCACATTCCAATTCCCTGGTAACCTATCCATTTCTGTGATTTTAGCTGTCACTTGGATAATGTTGACTTTAAGATACCCATCTACAGCCCTACCTACAGTACTGAGAGGTCCACTCATAAGTTTGTAAATGTTGAACACCTCCACCAAGATAAGCTTCCTGGACTTCAGACTGAGTGCATGGGAAGTGACATCTTCTTGTTTCCCCTTTTCCCTTGCCCAGACACCCTTGCCTTCTCGAATTTCCTTTTTATGTTAGTGGAACTAGTAGTTCTATCTCAGACTTGCTTAAACATGGAGTTACCTTTGAGTCCTCTCCACCACCCTAGTTTGCATATGTCCAACTGCTGCTTTCATTCCTACTGATAGCATCCCAGCTCAAATATCTCAAATATGGCTAGCTTTTACCAGGATTATCACATTAGCTTTTTAGCTGTCCTCCTTCCCCTGAGGTCTTTCTACCTCCAGTTCATCCTACACTCTGTTATGGGTAAATTATCCTAAAGCACAGTTCAGACCAGGTCACATCCAACCCCCCTGCCCCCCCCCAAAAAAAACCCCAAAAAACAGCTCCCTGTTGACTGCTAAGTAAAATGCATGCTTTACCAAGCTTAATAGGGCCTCCCAAATGTGGTCCCAAACCAACATTTCTACCTCACTCATTGCCTGTGATCAACCAACCCAGAGGGCTCACTGTTCCCCAGACACATCCAGCATTTTCCTTGTGCCTTCCTCTGCTTAATTGTTTCTTCCACCTG